TATAAACTCTCCATGAGCAGCTCCATGTGACCTTACAGACCTCATGGTACCGTATCATCCTAACAGAACCCTTCGCTCTCAGACTGCAGGTCTACTGGTGGGTCCAGAGTCTCCAGAACCAGAATGGGAGGCAGAGCCTTCAGCTATCAGCTCCTCTGTTGTGGATCAGCTCCCAGTCTGGGTTCTGGAGGTGGACACCCTCTGTGCTTTAAGGTTGCTTTTCTTTTTGCAGATGATGTAGTTCTGTTGGCTTCATGAGACCTTCAGCGAGCACCGGGGCAGTTTGACGATGTGATGGCAGCATGAGGAGGACAGACAGACTGGAGGGTATTCTGCTGAGGAGAGAGATGTCTGAAAGGAGCTCAGAGAAGCAGAGACAAACGATGGATGGACAACTCGTGGTGTAATCACAGTGATCATGACACAGCAGGAGAGCATCAGGTCAATACCCAGGTTTATTTGTTTCCCCCCTTATTACTCGGCCACGCTCTCCTCTCCAACCTCAGGCCTTTGCCAGCTTCCTTTACAACGGTTTAGAAACTGTACCCCAGAAAGCCAGACGAGCACATTAGGTTAAAACAACAAGACAAACAGTGTACCACCCGACATCCCCCAACAACACGGTTAGAGTAACAATAAAGTGACAAATCAAAGTGGATTTACAGTCACAGCAGCATCAAGTGATTATCTTACAACTCCACAACCTAAAATCATCACAAACGCTGGACATCACCTCAACGTTTACAACCAATAAGGCGAAAATCATCAAATTAAATATTAAGGCATGGTTGTCATGTCAACATTTGGACTGTTCAGTCTGTCCCAGCGGCAGCCCGACACCCCAGTGAGCATGTGCGGTGTGTGTGCGGTGTGTTGCAGGGTTAGGGGCTGGATATGTGCTGGAGGCCTGTCAGGCTGCACACAAACCCACACACACTCTGTGGGCAGCAGTCAGTGTGCATCAACATTTCTACTCAGGTGATATATATATTTATTATCTCAGATCTACACTCCTAATTAAAGCTCTATGTGGAGAAACAATTATAAATAGATTTTTCTATGAATGTTCTGAAAAGCTGAGCTCCAGATCTTTAGTTTGTGATGCAAGACACACGTAAGCAGCAGTTTGCAGTCGTTTCTATCGATCACTTTGGTTAGCCATGTATTGCAGATCTAGACTGGGACCTGGAGCTCCAACCCCAGCTCGATGTGAACCAGGTCCTGACAGGGATGCAGCACAGCCAGGCTGTGAACACACGATGCTGCAGCTCGCTCACTGACGCCCCAGAGCTCCACACCTCCCTCTGAGCCCAGAGCTCTGGGACACCAGAGAGACAAATCGCTGCATCTGGTTTGTCCAAGAGGTGATGAGCCTCAAACAGCTCGGTAAGCTCACTACTGCCCCCTGCATCAGATCAGATCAGAGCTCTATGTTAACTGGTTAAAGAAACAGTGCTGTGGCTGCATCCCTGCAGGCCGTCTTACAACACATCCGTCCGTCGCCTGCAGAGACAGGGAGCGCTGGTGAACTGCTCTGCTGCCACTTCTGTCAAAACACTTGAAAGAAAAGGAGTCTACAGCTGGCTTACACTCCACCCTATCCACTAGAGCCTCTCCAGGCGGCACAGAAAGGTTGTTGGATCAGACGGCATCATGAGGAGAAGAGGACATCACATGCTGGCAGTCCTGGGGATCTCCTGAGTGTCAGCCAGGTTCAGCTTCTGGCTGGAGAGACAGAGTCAAGGAAGAAACCAAGATGGAACCCTTAGAACCAGCCGGCAGCAGCTGAATAATGAGATCCTGAAGGCACACAGCTTTGACCTTCACTTTGTGAAGCAATTAGGGAGGAATGCAGCGCATGGAGTCGGGTGAACGCTCATATCAAAGGATACATAGAAGAACTGAGCTCCTCGAGCTGTGGAGACAAAGAACATGTTGATCTGATTACACAGGCTGAGTCTGTGGATCTCGTACCAGACGGGATCCTGTTCAGCATGTCATAAGCTGACTAAAGTCTGTACCAGGTTAGCACTTGCAGGCAGATAAGCAGCTAAATGCTCACTGGGATACGGAGCAGTTACATCACATCAATGAAAGGCTCCATCCAGGAGAGCATGGAGCACCTACAAGTCAACGGGCACTCAGGGCAGGACTTCGCTCAGACAAACAGCAGGTGGGTTACTCTGCAGAAAGCTAAGCTGAGCTCTGATGAGACACCAGAAGCTGTTCATCACTACAGAACACTCCTACATGAGTGGATCTACAACAGGGATGAGGACGGAGGACTGTACAAGTTATTACATTGAGGAGCAGCTTGTCCATGTTGGTGTCACAGGCCGTCTTCCTCTGGTCCTCCGGCATGTCGTCCACCTCCCCGTACAGGTCAAAGTGGAGGCGAGCCAGCTTCTCCTGCATCTCTCTCACATGCTCCATCTGTCCAATGGAGCACTCGTTACCTGAGACAGACCAAACAGTTAGCGTCCACTGATGCTCTTTAAATACGAGTTTGCTGATAACTTCTCAATAATCCAGGACGCTTCAGAAGATTCAGTGTGAGCCAGACGTGGAGCTACTGTGTCAGTGGTTCAAGCAGCTCATGCCGTCCTCCTCGTGCAACAGTCACACGTTTTAAATCTAAACAGTGCAAATTATACTGAAGCAAACCCAGATCCTCATCAATACAGTTAATAGCAGAAATGTACATCCACTGTATAAAAACACATAAAAGCTTGTCTTTCTCACTCCCTGCCTTTAAATCAGACTAAACGTTCCTGCAGCATCATGCTGTGGAG